AATGGAATACAGGGTGGGGCCCAAGAATGCTTCCTTGTGCGAGGCTGACTTGTATTGATGTTCAATATCGTGGTTCAATATGTATGGTACCCTTGCTGCCAAACACAATTATGACGAGTCCCAATAAAGGTAATTTTTAATTTTATTTTTTGTGCAAGAAACAAATTTGATATTGTATTTCTTGGGTTTCTTTTCAGAAACTAGACAGCCATCAAACTCATTTTCTTTTTATTGATATCGATTTCGGGGATATCAGCCTCCACTCATCAGTCTACATAATAAAAAACAATGTAATTTTATAGAAACTATTTATACATCATTAATTTTAATAAAAACCTTTAAATTACAATAATGAGAAAAACTAGATACTTACGTCGTTTTCTTTTTGGAACCTTAGTAGTTTTTATCTATTTATACTAATGTCTCTCACTGTTATACCCATTTTACTGAGCTATGACGTATTGCTTTTAACCATTGGTGTGCTGTTAATATACATGTTCTTTTATTACAGAAATTTTTTAATTTTTTTTCCTTTTTTCCTTTACATATTTTTCCATTTATTGTATCAAAAAATGTTTTATTATTTGTTATTAATAGGTTAATTCATTATGTTATTTGAATATGATGATGAGCATATATAATGATTATATACACACACACACACACACACAAAGATACATTATCATATTCAAATAATTCTCATGATAACACAAAAAACAGACGTAACTTTTTCGAAATGGTTTACATCAAGAGACAATATAAACTCAGCCGCAGCTACGCTATGTCATAAATCAAATTCAATATCAATAACATACATATAACACACAAAACATATAATACAACGTATAAAACAATCATTACACTCCACACATCAAACAATTCTACATAGTCTATATCCCCAACAATTTATCTCTCCTTTCCGTAATAATCCCGTCTATAATAATACTGAAAGACTAACTAGGCCCGAACGACAAACCATTACCCTTTTTTGCCATTGTCTGTCCCTTTCACCTCAAAGAAGCCGACCCCTCATAGAAAAATAAATTTCTATCCCTACTTCCTTCCCCACCTCTTCAAAATCCAAGGTATATAGACATAAAACAGCAATATCTTACTGCCACTCTCAACACAACACACAACAGTGACACATCTATGCAGAAAACACACACTTCGCCTGAGTATTGTCGAAAATTATGTCAATACTCCAATAACAGCGTCACCACCATAGATTTTCCTTGACAGCACATTGCACTATCGATTAGATTGTTATTTGTTAGTATCGAGAATTGGAGTTGGCGGTGAAGCGGCACGAGTTAAGACGAGTCTTGTTTTTGCGATTGAGTTGTAACTGTGTACCGTAATCTTGTGTGAATAAAATAATTCAATGTAATCTGTGTTGTTTCCCGAAGTTACCAAAACCACCACATTTGGCGACCCCGCGTCTATCAACTGTTGCGTTTTAACTCAACATACTAAGTGGTGATTTAATTCAAGATTCATCCCGGCCGGCACGAGATCGCCACGTGGGAGTTCGGGTCGGATAGGTTGATAGTTGGGACGTAAGTAGCTGTCTAATTGTGGAATATTAACACTAACATGAATGAAAAAGGAATACAAGAAGCCAAGGAGCCTATTGAGGCCCTCGATTCCTCTTGTAAGGTCCCTCCATTCTGGAAACCGGACCCAGCCTTATGGTTCTGCCAGATTGAGGCGATTTTCAAGAGAAATCGGATCACCAGCAGTTTAACCAAATTTACTACCATAATATCTGTTTTAGAATTTGATGTGCTTTGTCAGGCAGCAGATATTATTAAGAATCCAGGTGACCAGCCGTACGAGGCCCTGAAAATACGCCTTACCGAAACTTATACTGAATCAGAAAATAGGAGGATTTTACAATTGTTAGAAGGGAAACAACTGGGCGACGAGTTGTAACTGTGTACCGTAATCTTGTGTGAATAAAATAATTCAAAGTAATCTGTGTTGTTTCCCGAAGTTACCAAAACCTCCACAGTATAAATATTGGGTTGTCCGGAAAATAATGCAGGATTTTGGTATTAANGATGCGGTCTGGTGTGATGTAGGTTTCAGAAAAACATTTTCTTTATCGTGCCAACGTTTCGATCTTTATTGAGATCATCTTCAGGGCCTGGGATTTACAAACATTGTTTACATTTAACAAATACATATAGGATGTGGAAAAAAGTGAATTTATACAATGCAAACTATATTTGTTATATTCAATCAAAGTATTTCTACTACTCAAAGTGTTTATCTTCTGTGTAATTGTGCCATTCTTGCGTGTTGTGTTGAGAGTGTCAGTGATATATTGCTGTTTTGTGATTATATATGTTGGATTATGAAGGGGTGGGGAAGGAAGTCGGTATAGAAAAGACATTTTTGTATAAGGCGTCGGCTTCTTTGAGGTGGAAAGAGCCGACGAAGGGAAAAAACATTGGTAATGGTTCGGCTAGATTATCCTTTCAGGATTATATAGAAGGGGATAAATAGGAAAAGGAAAGCTAAATTGTTGAAAAATTAGACTGTATGAAAAATGTTTGATTTGTGGAATGTGATGAGATGATATATGTATGTTATCTATATAGAATTTGATTAATGATATTGGCGTAGCTGCGACTGAGTTTACATTTATCTGGATGCATTGAATGAAAATTTAATATTCAATCTGAACATTCAGATTTCTTGTAAACATTAAAAGTAAATTTTTCTTCAGCTTTTCTCATTATTACCATGTCTAGAAACGGTAATATATTATTATTTTCTTTTTCAGTTGTGAACTTAAAATTGGAATAAAATCATTTAACAATTCTTGAATGTCCTCTTAATGTACCAAAATAATACAATCATTTACACACTTTTTATCAATTGCACCGTAGCTTTTTTTTAAGCACCGTTAAGTAGATTCTTAATTAATCATTTACATCAATCCCTGCATTTAAGGGTGATAACCCTCTACACATTGGCAACCCTATTAACTGTTTATAAATTATACCATTAAATATCACATACGAATTCTTTATACACTAAAATTTCAAAGAAACTATGATAATTTAATTTCGTATTGTTTTTTTAATAATTCCTATGTTGTATTACTTATATCTAAGGCTTCGACTATGGGCTGATGCCCCCGAAATCGACAACAATAAAAACTAAAAGAGTTTGATGGTTGTCTAGTTCCTGAACAGAAACCTAAGAAATATAAAAGTCAACAACTGGCAAAGAATAGTAAGAAACTTGATATTGTTTTTTGCATCCCCAAGAAACATTAAATACCAATTTTAAGGAAAATTGAAATTATATTTTTTCTCCTCAAAATTTTCTCCTCCACCTCCGATTTTACATCTCGAAAATCACAAAAATGGCGATAACGTTTAAAAGACGCCACTGTTCTGCTGTAGAATTTACAGAGATTTAGAACTCTCCAAACAACACGAAACAGCATATTTTTGGCCTCGGTAAATAGATCAGAACCGGAGATATAAAATAAAACATTTGTGGAGTTTTTCATTCTTATTTTTCTCACTCAAAAAGATATAAAATTCAAGCAGTTGACTTTCCATTAAAGACGAGAATTTGACTTTCTAACGGTTGTAATAACTGAATTGGGAGAGATTCCATGGATGTTATGAATTTTTAATTTCGGAACACCGGTTATCGGAAAACAAATTGAAAACCGTTATTTTTAAAAGACTTTTTTTGGTACGTACTTTACTCGAAACCTGTTGATACGTCCTCAATGATATATAGGATGAGCTTAGGATGTTCCATTGTGTATTGCTCTAATATCCGAGTACTCACAGCCGCACCTCATTTCGAAGCAGCGGTCAGTTAAATAGAGTTTCAGGATAAGTTAATAAGAAATGTGCAGGAAGAGTTTAAGTTCATAGAGGCAACATGCAGGCATATTGTATATTTAAAAAAGAATTGTTCCGTGTTGTGAAGGCGGGTCGCAGTTCCAAGGAGAAAAGGAATACTATAATATCAACTAATTGAGGGTTCCAATTTTTTTCTTCCACTTCTTTATAAATTATTCAGGGATTTATGGCGATGAAAGAGGGAGCGGGGATTACGCGTTCTGCCTGGTGAAGGGGGGTGCGCAACGGGTCAAAGGAGCAGCGTAAACACTGGGGTACATACACGGGGGGGTATTTTTCAAACCACCTGTGCACTGCGGTGTTTTGAGAAAAAGAGGCACAGGGATAAGAAAAAATGAGGAGGATGAGAAGATCGATCAGTATCGTTCAGTGGATGTCCGCGTGTTTTATCACTGAAGGGAAATAATATTCAGTTTCATTGTTCAATTCAAAACTATTCATACGTATTTAATCTTAAGTTTTTATGGCGGTCTTTTTTTTAAATAAATTTAATAGGGTTTATTTTTGTCTGCGTGTTGAATCAGGTTATTTATTTAGCCGGTTTCCCTTTGTTTAATGTGTTTTTAGAGTAGTACCAGATACTAGAAAAGTTATTAGTGGTATAGAAAACAAAAAGGTTAATACTGACAAAAAGCTAAAACAAGTCTGATGAAATATGAATATACTTAACAAAGTGAGAAGCACAAATTTTAATTTAGGCAAATATGAGAAAAAATTTAATAAATTCCAATCTTTACCGGTTAGATGACACTCAGTTTCCTCCTCAGTTATTTATTTGCTCAGTCTATCATTTAAAAGTGTGACACATTTAAGCAACGTGCTAATTTGTGGCAGCACTTATTAAACATCTGTCGAACGAATAATAAAGACCTTTAATCTGTCTCGGAATTAGTGAATAACCCAGGGAACGCAACAGTGACAACATTCTCCGGTCAAGCACTTTCCCGGGGCAGTTAACCGTTTCATAAGGATATGAATCGGCCAGGTGCCCTAATTGCTAAGTTTGACGGGTAATTCTCACTCCCAGATCGGCGTCGCTCTATTTTTTACTTTTATCTGGATTGTTTGGATTTGTATTTCTGTACGCTCAAATCCCCCCTTCATGGATCGCTGCCTTGTCGTGGCGAAGGGGCTTGCGTAGCGCTGTGAAGCTATGAGCTATGCCGTGCAGGGCCACTCAAGACGGACAGGTCATAGTAGAGCGTTCTGACAAAATGTGATCCACTGGAGCAGGAAATGGCAACCCACTCCAGTATCTTTGCCATGAAAACCCCATGGACAGTACTAAAAGGCAAAACGATATGACACTGGAAGATGAGCCCCTCAGGTCGGAAGGTGTCCAATATGCTACTGGGGAAGAGCAGAGGGCTAGTACTAGTAGCGCCAGAAAGAGTGAAGCGACTGGGCCAAAGCCGAAAGGACGCTCAGCTGTGGATGCAGCTGGTGGTGAAAGGAATGTCCGATGCTGCAAAAATTTTTACTCCATAGGTACCTGGAATATAAGATCCATGAATCAAGGCAAGCTGGACGTGGTCAAACAAGAGATGACAAGACTGAACATTGATATCTTAGGAATAAGTGAACTAAAATGGACAGGAATGGGTGAATTTAAGTCAGATGACCACCAGATATACTACTGTGGGCAAGAATCCCTTAGAAGAATTGGCGTAGCCTTCATAGTCAACAAAAGAGTAGGAAAAGCAGTACTAGGATACAACCCCCAAAATGACTGAATGATCTCGATTCGAATCCAAGGCAAACCATTCAACATCACAGTAATCCAAGTGTATGCCCCAACCACTGGTGCTGAAGAGGATGAAGTTGACCAGTTCTATGAAGCCCTACAACAACTTCTAGAAGTAACACCAAAAAATGATGTTCTTATCATCATGGGGGATTGGAACGCTAAAGTAGGAAGCCAAAAGATAACTGGAATAACAGGCAAGTTTGGCCTTGGAGTACAAAATGAAGCAGGACAGAGGCTGGTAGAATTTCTGCCAAGAGAATACAATGGTCATAGCAAACACGCTTTTCCAACAACCCAAGAGACGACTCTACACATGGACAACACGAGACGGTCAACACAGGAATCAGATTGACTATGTACTCTGCAGCCAAAGATGGAGAAGCTCTATACAGGCTGTAAAAACTAGACCAGGAGCTGACTGTGGCTCAGACCATGAGCTTCTCGTTGCAAAATTTAGGCTTAAATTGAAGAAAGTAGGGAAAAGCACTAGGCCAGTCAGGTATGAACTAAACCATATCCCTATACAGTAGAAGTGACAAATAGATTTAAGGAACTAGATTTGATAGACAGAGTACCTGAGGCTAAATGGCTATCTGAGGAAGCTCTACAAATAGTGGAAGAAAGAAGGGAAGCAAAAGCCAAGGGAGAAAGAGAAAGATACAGCCAATTGAATGCAGAATTCCAGAGAATAGCTAGAAGAGATAAGAATGCCTTCTTAAATGAACAGTGCAAACAAATAGAAGAAAACAATAGAATAGGGAGGACCAGAGATCTCTTCAAAAATTTAATTAAGGGATTTTGAAAGATAACAAAACGTTGTTTATTGGACACAAAATTTTTTTAAAACAATTAACACCGTGTGTAATGTCCTCTGTTAGCTAAAACCTCTGTACACCTGTTAAGCATACTATTAATAAGGTTATCACTAATTTCATAAGGAATTTCACTCCACAGATGTTGCGACGCTGTACTCAGTTGTTTCAGGTCAACTGGCTGCGGATGGTGATCGAAAAGCCTTATTTACAACTCATGTGCTCAATGGGATTGAGGTCTGGGAACAATGGGAGAAGGGGCAGATGGGAAATTCCCAAGTTTTCTAAAAATTGATGAACAGCTTTGCCTCTATCTTTGCCTCTAGGTCTGGTATTGTCACCTAGAAATCAAAAATCCCTGCCAATGAGATCCCTGGTTTGAGGGATGTATTCCTCGATAATTTGCGGTGAAGTTTCCTTCAACAATATGGAGTCCAGTTCGCCCTCCAGTGTAATTCCCAGCCCAGACCATTACACCGCCTCCTCCAAACTGCAATGAAAGGGATACGAACCGAGGCATGGTATGTAGCCTCAGTTCTCGGCAAACTCTTCGGCACCTGCTATCACTACAAAGACAGAAACGCGACTCATCAGTAAACAGAACAGCATTCCAATTGGTCTTTTCTTCTAGGCGCTCGCTGCGCCATATTCCCCCGAATTGCTGGTGGCCGGCTGTTCCTGCAGGTCGTTTCAAGGGGGCTACAAAGTGAGGCCAACTTCCCACAAAGGATTACAATTAGTTTGTATTGATAAAGGCCTTGACAAAACATCCGATACCTCATTTAGGACCTGGCGGGCACTAGGGCGAGGGTTTCGACTTGCAGCAGTGACAATATTTCTGTCCTACCTTAGTGTCGTAATGCGCTGAGATCTATACAAGGCAGGCACTTCTAAAAGCACTGCTATTGGCACTTCCAGTCTCTCGGAATCGGGCCCAAGCCCAGGAGACCACGCTCTGAGAAACGCCAACTGCCTCTTCCATTTGCCGGTGATTTGGAAGACTCATTCTCACAATAATATTGTGAACTTGTGATTCAAAATAATGTCTTTCCATCGTTAAAGATAATACATCTGGATTAAAATGGAGAAAAGAGAGAAAAGGTGTTTGTTTACAAAATGAGTAATCTTCACGTTTACTATTTTTAAGTAAATCCGTAATTAAAAATGAGGACAAAAAAACCTAACATAAAAGTAAAAACTACCTTAGCTGTGGAATTGTGTAATCCAGGGGTGGGTTCGTTGAAATAAAATGTCCGCTTCCTAATTTTCCAAAGGTATTTGGGAAGGTCGAACGTAGGGACTATGTATTTAATTTAAAAGTCAGCGTGTGGCAGCCCTAAACGGTTGTTCGTCTAATCCTTTGTGTCTGAAACGAGGAGACCCCCCCCCCCCCACTGTACTTAACACACTTGAGTTCATGTAATCTTTGTCACCGAGGACCCTCGACGAGAATTCTTTTCTTGTTCTTGGGGAAGGAAAGGTGAAAACGAGTTTTCTATCATACTTTTTACACCAGTTATATTGAAAATCTGATATTCTCTGGCTTTAAATTAATGTAGGTTTTAAATACGGAAGGGACGAGCAGTTGTCATTTCAAATCGTTCCATACTTCATTCATACTCAAGACGAACACTTTGAGCCCTGAAGATGATCTCAATAAAGATCGAAGCGTTGGCACGATAAAGAAAATGTTTTTCTGAAACCTACATCACACCAGACCGCATCTCACGATCTCCGTATGAACAAACACCCTCAAACGATTTACTTTATATCTTCAACAATCGGGTATATAATATATTTACTAGAATACATACATAACAATGACAGACACCTATAACCGGAATAAATAAATAAAAACTTTTCGCCTTCCAAAATCTATGATTTTTTTAAATCATAAAAATTGTGATAACTTTGAAATAATTTTACTGAACTGCAGGAAACTTTACAGGGGTAACCCTATAAACTACTTGTATTGACATACATTTTTTTCTCTGTAAAAACAGATATTGTTGAAGATACAAAGATCTCAACAATATCAATATAAAATTGGAAGGCGAATAGTTTAAGTTTAAAAAAAATCTATTTATTAGTTATAGGGGTCATCATTACGCATATATTTTATATATCATTTAATTTGTTTTGTTTTTGTACATAGGATGAGAAAATAATACAATCGTTAGTTTGAAATGAAATTTGATACATAAAAAGGTTAAAAATAAAGTAGTAAAGCAGACCAAAAAATATTTTTATTGACGAAAAAGCAAACCTAAAATACAAATTTTAATAACAAACAAATATTTTACAATTTTGGGCATTTATTGGAATTGAAAATTCATAACTTCTCTGTATTTTATCCATATTTAGCGTTATAACGATTAGAAAGCTTTCTCTTCATGTTGATCCTTTTTCAATAAGGATATTTGTACTACCTCCAATCATATTTTTTTAGCCAATTATTTAGGGAAATTTCTCTCATTACGTGTAGTTTGCAGGGTTGTAAACGGGCATAAAGTTCCATGTAGATCAGTGAAGTAGTTTCAAAATTATCATTATTTTTGCGATTGCAGGCGTTTGTTTAAATGGCAAACATACAGCCGAACGGTAGAATGGACGGGTGAAAGATTTCGTCCACTCTTCAGAGCAAAAGTCTTATATTTATTATGTTGAAGCTATAATTTCATGCATTGTAAGAGTATGTTTATATTTGTAAAACGTTTAAATAATTAGTAATAGAATCAAAGTCCTGATGAAGAGGAAATATTCCTCGAATGCTTGATGAAGGAACTGAGTTTCTTCCTTCAAATTCTTCAAATTTTCAAAAAACAAGCCTGATTTTTTATATATAATTATGATATTAAAGCTCATATAAATCACATCAAGGTAAACGAAAATCAATATTGTTTCCAGATAGAAAAATATTTTATTTTCCTTCGGTCACAACGTCAACATTGTATTTTGCAGCATGAGTTCATAGACATTGAAATAAATAATTTATAATTAGGTTTTTTTCCAGAGTCAAACCATTATTTTATTTCCCACTCTGAAAATATACAATAAAATAAGCAAATGGACAATACAAAGCCATATGGTCGTCACACGCCAATGCTAATGGTCGGTTCAATAAGAGGCACCTGGTCCTTTAGTTTATTACTCCGGAACGAAACCAACCGAAAGTTGATTATTTAAAAAGCAACTGACAAAAACTGACGGCTTTAAGAAACGCGCACCACCAACGGAGAAATAGCGAGAGCGGGCTAAGTGCTGAAGAATAATAGAACAGTCCCCTTGTATATTTGCGTACTAATAATGCCGAGGCCCCTTCTCGATATTTTTTTCTCGGCCAGCTGACAATTTCAGAGCTACCTTAAGCCACTGATCTAATCGCAGATAACCCATTACGAGACAACTTTTCATAGATGCTTTTAAAAACGACAAACAAATCCTATAAAATATGATGGTATTTAAGCAAAATATTCGAACAAATCTAAGTATAAAAAAAGAACGTGAAAGAGGGAAAAACCCCCCTATGGAGAACGACACCATCTGGTACACTGATGGATCTAGAACGCAAGAAGCCACGGAGGCAGGAATGAGTTTCTGGAACCAAATTCTCAGAACTCATGGGAAAATATACCAATATCTTCCAGGATGAAGTCATGCAATTTAGATTTTCAGTTGAATTTGAACAAACGTGCAAAAACAAGAATATAGCTATCGTAAGTTTGCCAAACAGCCATGAAAGCACTAAGTTCAAACATCATTAGCTCAAAGATGGTGCTGAATTGCAAAACTAAACTAAACAAAGTAGATTAATAAAAAGACACTATCTGCTGGATCCCAGGTCGTGTGGGATTAGAGGGCAATGAGAAAGCTGACAACCTTGGAAGAAAGGGGCTATAAGTCCTGAGCCCTTCTATGGCATAGTTATTCACACAATCAATGACACAATCTTAAGTTACAAGTAGTAGTTACCAGTAGTTATAAGTTTCTATGCTCTTGTTATAACAATATTATTCATTCTCTGCTGTAAGTCCCGTCTGAACAGGTGTAGTTTTAATAAAAATCTTTTTTAAAAAGTACTTATTATCCGGAGTTCATTTAATTTTAGATGAAAAGACAAAATGAAAATTAGGAGACAATGGAATTCACTTCTTGGACACAACTAATGAAAGAACCTTCTAGCAAGTTTTGGAAGGAAGGAAACAACAGACTGCATCAAGGGAAGCAGGAAAACACTTCGAATCCTAATAGGATGGACACTGCACATTAAATGGGAATTTGAAGAAGATTGTTATAATCAGCACTTGCAAATTCTGCAAAAAGCAAATGAGGTACCTACACACAAACAACACGAACAAACTGTGACGTTAATTGCCCTCAGGAGGAATTGTTTTCGGATGTACGACATAACCTAGAAGAAGTGGAACCACTGAAACCGGCCTCATAATCAATCTGTGCTATAGGTACGGCGATACAATAGCTCTCAAAGGGCGCGGTATACAGTATACATGATTGTACTTAAACAGCAATAAAAATAAATATTATATATTGTATACTCAATGTTAGTAATGAGATGATACATCCAACCTTCTCGTAATTCGTTTTCTTTTTCTTTGATAGAGAGCTGATACTGGACTGACCTTTTTCCAAATTGTTACAGGGGAAACGTAAATTTAAGTGGTTCGAGTCGTTCACATGTCCAGATGGTGTTTTATTCA